GAAAACATCGTGAGGAAACTGACAGGTCTTAGACCCAAACAGTCGACGGCAATCAGGCACTGAAGGCTGATCACCTCTATGCCTATTAGATTTAAAAATGATCATGAAGCAGATTCAGAAATCTGAGGCCAAGACCTAAAGAGGTTGTAGCGCCACTGATTTATTTTATTTATATCTAAGACAGACTGCAAATACATTCAGGCGTTGTTTAATATAGTAACTATAGTAGATACTAGAGTTTTTCGTTTCCATGAGTGAAGGAGTAATTATTCCGATTAAGTTTTATAATTCATAAAGTCTGAAAGAAAGCAATAAAATTGCCTATTCAAACTAGTAGTATACTCTTTAAAAGATCCTACGGTCCAGTAAGAAAATGATTTTGAATTGAACAGTTATAAGTTGTTATTTGCATGTCATGATGAGTGGTCGCGGTGAACATAGTGGTTAGTGGTTGCTATTAACTACTCTTTCGATGCCGCCCTATTGTCCTACACTGGCTAGCGATAAATATTCTACGTGATGGAATCTTTATGTTTCCGATCCCTTCATGCCGTTTGCATTATAAAAAAGTACATTGGCATGAATAAATAGTTACCGATACCGATAGGCTTATTAAGCGTGTAATAGACCTATTACTTCTAATCTTTAATAATAATGGTTCTATTTTAAATTGTAAAGATCAAACTCAACACTTAAAATAATTACACATAACCAATTTAGGTTTGGTAAATAATCTTTTATAAAAACTCCAACTTCAGTCTACGTCATAACTCCAACTGCTTAAGAGAAATTGCCTTCCTACAACAGTGGTAGAATATTTGTTTGATTAAATCGAGAGAACAGGAAATCATATAGAAAGTAAAACGTTAGTTATTGAAAAGGGTTTTATTTCTTATTTCAGTCAAGCGTCGCTCGCGCACGCCGCAGTGCGTCTGCTCCATGAGCATTCTTGGCATGAGGTGAGTCATCGCACTGCATTTATAAATAATGCTCCTAGGTCGTATGTTTACACTCGATGTATTGAGTATTCTTGTATCGACGTTACTAATACGTACATATTACAAATGAATCTTCCGCCTAATGTGCTTCTTACTGCTTTTTAAGATGTCTATAAAAATTACCTCTTAAATGTTAACTATTCTAGGAAATACCGATGCCTGGTAAGTTAATCAAAATACGGTAAGATTATTACGGAATCTAGGTATCATTCTTAGATTTTGTAACACATTAACACCGAATTCTTACAAAACAAACGGTGAAGAAAATTGCAAGCAAAAACTCATTTGTTTGTAGATAAAATTCATGCTCCACGCGTAATGAGTAATTTGTGTACAAAAAGCCACAGCGCATTCGTGGAAATTTCTTCATGCAACAGCAGAGTCTTGGTTATTCGTGAGTTGACTATTACCAAAGAACACTCGTGCTTAGGTATATTAGTTAGCAACGCACACCTGCCTCGCAACTCGATGTCAATGTCCGTCAAACGCGGCACTAACTGCGTACACATTGCCATTAAAATATCACAAACAAAGCTTCTGTATGCAAATAACACGTAGAGCGTTATAACAAATTACAATTTACGCAACTTATTGCGTTTGAAATACTCTCGCCTCCTCCTTCATCATGGAGCAAGTAACAAAGGATCACGAAGGCTCGTTAAGTTAATATTTCTACATACATATATGATATATGTTTCATTTATTTTTATTTTGTCTTTGGAATTTCCTAGACTGAAATGATAATACTTTGCGTCGATACAGTAACGCTGCCGTTATATGTAAACTATATAATATTTTGTACTATTTTTGAAGAGGTAAGACAAAGTTAGGATGCATTATATCAAGAATATTATTTATGAAACCACGAAAATTGCTAAACTCAATCTTGGAATATTTCTGCTGCGTTCTTTGAAAATTCTCTGCGGTTTGCCCGCATTATTAAGAACGCACCTAATTATATAAAACTTTGTACACAAATCGTCTTGAGGACGGTATTTCTTCGTGCCGCTAGGAATTTTAAGTGTAGGGTAATCTGGAAATGTTGATCCGCCATGTTTCTTACTCGGGTATAAGAATCCATTCAATTATCCTATTGCATTAGTATTCATTTGCTAACTCTATTATTTAGAGTAATAAAACAATTGCTATATCAATACAAATCAAACTAAGCTAAGGTAAGTACATACGCTTTAGACATAACACATTTGAAGCTTTGTTGATATAAAATAAAACCGCGGATAAACTTCTACGTATTATCTTAGACAAATGAACTATTAATGTAGAAATTGGGTATCTAAATTAAAACAGATGACGATCATTGACCGTCACCACACCAGTTTTGCCATTTGTTAGCCGAAATAAGGATTTTAATGCTTATTGTGTGGTTGACCCGCTTACGTTTAAAATCTAAAATTAATAAAATAAGCTTTTTGCTTTCTACCCCGTAACTGTATGAAAATGACTCCATAGATTATTTATGTAGCCACATACTAATATACGAGGAATGCAGCCTGACTACATGAGCTACGTGGAATGAAGAATTTGCTACCACACCGCTTCATGCACTTCATAATATTGTGTAATTACAGTAGTTTATATATACATACGACCAACATTACTGACACAAACACGCAAAAATTAATCAGAACCAATCCAAAAAACTTAACGATAGCTACTTAAAGTGCTTTTTTTATAAAGCATTGGTGCACTTACAAAACATCTATCTATCAGACAAAATCTTAAGATATTACTCCTTTGATGTTTGAATGAATCCTTGGCGCCTTCACTTCACAACCCACACGAATTTCAAAGTTTGATGAGTAAGATAAGCGGAAAGCTATTAGTCATTAAAGATTTTTAAACGCCAACACCGGAATAGCCTACATCCTGTGCGCGACATGACATAAATTATTTTATCAATTTAATTATATCTGTTACGAATGCTATTAAAAGCTAACTAGAATATTATTAAGGGGCTTATTCTACAAAGTTTTAAGTATCTTTAAATTGTAGGTATTCTTATATTAGCGATTATTTTACTAAAAAACCACATGGTGTATAATCCACAAGTCCTAGGTTCCCGGAAATCATAATTTTTTTATATTTGTCTACAAAATTATCAATAAATGATACGATAAAATGTTTATGTTGTAGGAGTTCTAACTCCAATATATTAAGCAGCATGTGATTCTTATACTGCTGGTCCAACGGCGTTTATATGGTACTAAAATCAAACAATAACTAAAGACTATTTAAATATAAAATCACGTCTTTTAATACTGTAATAGAAACTTTAGAATCCTGTTACGATTAAAATAAAGTACGCTAATATATGTTTCCTTCCGTGTTTTCGTGTAATTACGAAACCAGATGTTTTCAATCAAAATTAATGTCTGTCAATTACCTAGAAAATGGTTACCGAATTAACTAATTAATTAAAATACATACAGTAATAATAAATCGTAAGGATTGTATTGTATTGCTTATACTTGTGCAATTATTGTTACCTATATACTGTTTGTGTATGAAAAACAATGCAATATAATATACTGCATCAGCAAGGTCTTTGGCATATCTTTCAGTTTCTCAATTTCTCTCCAAGCCTTTCCAGCTTTGGTTCTGCAATGGTCAGATAACACATTCAAACGGGGTTTGCTACTCTCTGCATCCAACTAACAATAATATTTATATGCCGTTCGGAATAAATAATATAAGGCCGTAGATATAATTAAGTCTTAGTAATTGATAAACTACTGTTATCAATATTCTAGGCTTTAGAGTTGTACGATTTCCGCCCATTCCGACGGTCATCATTACGACAGGACAGTTCCGATAAGTTAACATAAATAAGTACTTAGGGTATATAATTGTTGTCTCATCTAATTATAGGCAGAGAATATCCGCCATGCATCTCATAATGACACTCATCCACAATCTTCATCCCACTATCTTACCGTTTTACGTCGACTTCTTAACAGTTAAAATCATTTCCTGGCAACTAAATTACTTAACAGTTGCAAGTTAAAAATAAGTGGATACTTAGATGTATGAACAAATTACAAGCTTTTAATAAAACAATATTCGAAGAATTTCGTGACTTTAATATAATAGTATTTATGGACTAAACATAGTAAATAGATAAGTACGCTATATTTTAGTATAATGTAATTCACCAATGCATAAACATGTTACCAAATTTTGCTAAGTTATTCGCGAACAAGTGAAGTATATTTCGTAACATTATTTATTATTAAGAATACATTTATTTATAAGTTGTAATTAACTAGTATTAAATTCTAGTGCAATTAAATACCTGCCTGTTGTTTATAAACACATTTTCATACGAGGAAAATTAAAACAATATGGAGCAAATAGGTAAAGCAAGTTTATGTTTTAAGATTTTTCATAAAGTCATTAAATTGTTACACAAAAGTAAGTTAACATTTTCATATGTAAAGATGTTTCTGATTAATATTTCGCAATTTATCAACATATACAATTGCTAATTTTTAAAATAACCATTCTCAACGTTACGTTTTAGCCATTACTATTTTGTAGTAAAATAATTAAAGATCCATTTACATAAATGCGCTATGCGTGCAAACAAGTTCAGCATTCCCACTGCACCTTGCAAAACTTAACATAATAGTGTGATACATGAGCGCGTACTCACATTGAGTAATACTAGATAACTCGATTTTGCATAATTGCGATAAACATAACCATCTAAATTCCAATGCGATATGTAACTATTGCTTTTAACTCTACCATTAACATTTCTATTCTGAAAATCATAAATGGTATTTCTTTAAATAAATCAGGTAAAACAACTGCATTTACATGGAAGGTACTCTGGAACAAGTGAGAATGACTACAATAAATAAAACGATCTTAGCGATAAAAAAATTACCAGTAACAAATTATTATATTTATTGACTTGAATTTTTTTATTTCCAGAATAAGCGCGTACGGTGTGACGCAATGGTTGCGTGATCGGTCATCATGCGCCTCTTCCGTGGGCCGAAGCGCAGGGAAGTGACCGGGCCGCAGGCTGCAACGCCATCTCCCCGTAGAGACCTCACCGGTACCCGCCCAGACCCCACACACGATTATACGCTTGTTACCGCGCTCCCAGCCATGGTCATGGAGGACGATGTCAGGGAGATGAAGAAAGGTAAACGGTACCATATATACTCTCATTTAAGTAAAGTTTACAATCATCACTGAAATGTTTAGCATTAAAATAAATAATAAAGCACATTATAATAAGCCAATAGGTATATTATTTTAACACAACCAACTGCTACTTGAAATCAGTAATAAAAATATCTCAATCATATTTTTTTTAAAATTTCAGTGTTTGCAACATGGGGTCGGCGTATGGGGAAGAAGCTAGATATGCTCAAAAAAGAACCGAAAGATATAGATGAGTCGCCCTCTAATGATGTCGTGAAACGAGACCTGTCACCTGCACCTGGCCAATTTAAGAAGAAACAAAATTGGAAAATGGGTCGAAGTACTTCAGACTCCGCATCATTGAAAAAGGACAATGACACTGATTCCATAAGAAGTGGTTCAAGGGATAGGTCTCCGAGCCCATTCAAATCTTTTTTTCATCGTATGGGTTCAACAGGGATGTTAAATACGTCTAAGACACAATCTTTAAATACACACAAACCTCCCGAAAATTACAATAATGGATCCACATTATATCGAAGCTGTTCAACTTCTCATTTATCCACCTACATAAAAGCTGATGATCCATCTGACGACATCGATTTACAAAACACGAACAATGAAAATAAAAAATCACCAACTAAACAGAAAATTACTTTACACAACGAAGAAAATTTCGTGAACTCATCAACAAAAGCCATAAGCTGCGATAATATATCTAAGCTCGATGGACCACAAAGCAACTCCTCCAATAAAAAGCCCAATTTTCCTTATGCTTTCTTACGATCAAAACTGTCTGTTTTACCCGAAGAAAACAGTATAACGTCACAGCATAGATCGATATCTATTAGGCAGAGTTTTTCAGAAAGAATAGATAGAAAATCACCAAAGTTTCGAAAGGAAAGATTATACTTAACAAATTCTCGTTCAGAGGAGCGGTATAGAAGCAGTGATAATATATCCGTTCATGAAGGAAGTGTATACGACAGTAATTCTGCACTAAGAACTGATATCGATTCCTCTAGAAATTCAATTCGAAGTATTAACGAAATCGACGGCACACCTTATCCATATAGAAGAATCGACGACGTCCCACGAAGGTCATCTATGATCTCACATAGACCACCGATAGACTACGACCCCATGCTTATGCCCCGGAATAGAAACAGTCTTCCTGTTTATGAATATGGGTCGACCCTTGGTTCTATCCAAGATTTAAAGTCCGATTTAGCTTCCTCTAGCCAAAGCATACACAGGGAAATTTTACAAGCTCATCGACTGAGTAGTTACATCAGTTCTAATGAATCTGGATACGATAGCGACGGCAGACCAACTGATGAACATAGCAATCACTCTCCGCCTGGATTCAGTCACCTATCTACCGGCTCTTGTACCCGGGATGGAAATTATGGCAATTTTACAAGACAGTTAAGCTTAAATCAGAAAATAAATGTCAGTAGAGTTCAAATTCCAGCACGAAGAAGCTCAACGCCATGTGCATTATTCCCAATAGAAAAGAGTATTTCCTATGAACGAGAAAATGAAAACAAAACACCAAAGTACGCTAAAAATATTTCTAATCAAATTACAATTGATTATAGTGATGCTAAACCACCGCCTTTACCAAAAAAAAATATGAGTAAAAAAGTGCCTTTTGTTTACAAAACAATTACATTAGATGATCGTTATCACCCCAGAAAAACTAACTATTTACAATCTCAGCTGTCAGCTTTTGAAAACTTATCAACTCCAAACCTTTGTGAAAATATAACTTCGGGTCGTGTATCTGATATTAACAATTTGGAAAAAGATTTACTTGGTAGAGGACCGTGTACAAAGCGATTTAGAAAAATTAGACTTATAAAAACTAGATTGGACGAAAGTCTTGGCGTATATCTTGCTCAGCATCGAGTGGACTTTGACAGAAGTGGTTCCAATTTCGAAGTTCGATATATCGTAGTAAAGCTCGATTTTGATGGCATAGCTCACAGAGATGGTAGACTGCGAATAGGAGATGAAATAGTCAGTGTAAACGGAAAAGTACTGAGAGGATTATCATCTCTCAAAGAGGTTCAACATATTGTAAATTCATGTTCTACTGAAGCTGACCTGGAAGAAGGAGCTTTGTTTCAAAGATACGAAGTAGACTTAGTTATGGCCCATGACGAAATAAACCCTGTTAGCCTAGGACGCATAATAAATAATCAACGTTGTGAAAATAATTCAAAGGAACCTAACCGTTTATCAAATGTGCCCCCTGACATTATCTCGCAAACAATACATAAACCAAAACCAACAAATTCTATTATTATGGAAACACACTTCCCAAGTGATAATAACCTTTACGTAGAAAGTGATCTGACAGGGCAGTTACAAGATTTAAACGATATGCAAACCAAATGTGAAGTAGGTCTTCAAGTGAGTAACAGAGTACTAATGTCAAATCAGATGAGTGATGATGAAAAATTATTAGAGCGGAACTGTTTTACACCGGTTCACCCCTCTTTGCAAAATATAACAAATATAGAAGTATCTATGCGCTCTTCGCCAACGCCTAAAAATAATACAAATTACAGACCCATATCTCTGCACGGATCTAGGACGCCTGTCTCAGTATGTACAGATAACGATACCAATGAAATAAAAGAAAACGCGTCTCATTATATAAAGAACGTGCCAAGACTCTACCAAAACAGATCGTTTGAAAGTATTCCAGAACAATTAAGAAGCAGTAATCGCAGTCGATATTTTAGTAGAGTAGGTTCACAGAGATCCTCACAAAATTATGGTTCACACGTCTCTCGTCACAAAGAGCACATCAGCTCTGTTAATCAAGAGCGTCAACAATATTCTAACCATTCTATTCATAAAGTACAGTTTTGGAAGGGTCCGGGTCAAAAAAGTCTTGGATTCAGCATTGTTGGAGGAACTGATTCGCCTAAAGGGCAAATGGGTATATTTGTCAAAACAGTTTTCCCGAATGGCCAAGCTGCTGATAAAGGAAATGTTTATGAAGGTAAGTACTTTTTTATAAATATTGTGCCCTAAATACCTTAAACTTCTTCGTCACTGATTATTATCTGTGCCTTGTAATGTGATATTTCATATGGTATTGATATAAATAATTATAATTCTCTATTTCAGGCGATGAGATATTATCCGTAAACAACGTGCCAACACGTGGTTTAAGTCATGCTGGAGCAATATCCCTTTTCAAACAAGTTAAAGAAGGAAAAATCGAATTGACGCTTTCAAGAAGAAGGTATTTTTTTAATTTTTATATGAATGTAGTTAACAGAAGTAACGTTTACTTACATTTCCTTTCTATTATATTCTCAGAGCTCCAAGGTCAAGATCGGTCGAGCCTCTTGGTCATTTCCGCGGAGACAGTAAATGACTTGTATAAAAAGCAACAGACCTCCGTACGTAGTACTACTTGTCGTTGTTACAACGATTAGCTTCGCCTAACTTGTAGATCTGTTATCGATGTGCAAATAAAGAAAAATGTTTTTATTCCTTAAAAACACCCCATCCCTTCCTTTCTTTTTCCCCCCCCCCCTTAATCGAAATAATCACGAGTCCCCCAAGGCATTTTGTACTTATTTTCACTCTATAAGTTAAAGTTGACCTCCCAGGTACGTAAACCTGTACTACTTGTCGAATTTATTATCTCTATTGTTACAACAATAAGCTTACCGACTTTAAGAACTTGCCGCCAATGTGAGTACACTATTGTTTCATAGAAAGCATTTTAGGGAGTATCATAATAATTTTGACTCATGGAAACTGTGTAGTCGATGTGTCGGTGTTCAATTTGACCGAAATTAGCGTAAGCCAGTATATTATTCGACTTAAATACGCAGATATGCTGAAGGCAATAAATAACTGTCGTAGAAAACATACCGTAACTTTATTATGATTTGAAATAATGTTGGTTTTTTTTTTAATAAAAATATTTTTTTCCCCCCCCCTTTTTTTTTTTTTTTTTTTTTTTCCCCCCCCCCCCCCCTTTTTTTTTTTTTTTCCCCCCCCCCCCCCCCCCCCCCCCCCCCCCCCCCCCCCCCCCCCCCCCCCCCCCTTTTTTTTTTCCCCCCCCCCCCTTTTTTTTGCGTCTTTTTTTTTTTTTTTTTTTTTTTTTTTTTTTTTTTTTTTTTTTTTTTTTTTTGGTTGTTTTTTTTTCTCCCCCCCCCCCCCCCCTAACAGATATATATTATTTTATAGTATCATGCAGCACTGTAATATAATCCTCGTTCTTTCAATAATGAATAACATGGCAAAAGATTACGATCTTTCAGATCATTTTATATGTTGATCGATATTTCCTTGGTATACCTTTGCTTTTGTAAATGTATTAAAGTTAAGACAATTAAAACTGTTACTTAGTAAGTAGTACTTGAATTAATTGTCTTTTTTTGTTTATACTTTAAGCTTCAGTAAAAATAAGACTATTGTATCAATTAGCCTTACACTGTGAATATAAGACTGTATGTAATTTAGCTTAAGACTATTATGAATTGATGTGTTTAGACTTCTATTGCGGTAGGAATGCTAGATCTCGTTATTTCCTTTTTTATGTTTTTCTATTTAACACTTAGGATTCATTTACACAAATTATAGACTGATTAATAGAAATTTGCTAATTTGTACCTACAAATACTGCCAAAGTTTTAGTCTTAACGTGAGTAATATAATCCCTAATAATATGCTACTGATCAAATGTGTACTTAAATTATTAACACGAGTGCTTGACGAAATGGCATTACTAGTTCAATAGTGTGGTAACAACCTGATATTTTTTCTAGCAGATAGAGGGCTTCGTTTTTCAATTGATAATGTTTTTATTCCGAACATTCAAAACTTAAACAATCTAAATAGAAAAATTTAAATACAAATTCAAAATGGAATATGCCTCGATTGACTTCTTATATTTTTTTTATAATCTTTTCATTGGTTAAAGATAGCTGTGTAGTGAAAGCTTCTAACATTTTAGATTATCCAGTGAATTCTTAGAACGCTCAGATGCGAATTTTATTTTCCTTTTTGTTAGTAAAAGGTCTGAAAATTTACTTGTCTTTTTTGTATTTTTATTATAAGTACTTATTGAATGTAATTTAAACTAAGCTAACAAACAATACACACAGCCAGCGAATATCTCCGTCCAATAAAAACGTCAAAGTCAATTACCTTATCAAGCAGAGGACTAAATGGGATAACTTATTCCTGCAGTTTTTACAATACCAGTACTAATTTTCTAAAACTGGCATAAATTATTGTAAATATTTATAAGCTATTATAAAGAACACGACAGTATTGTTTAATATATATACGAAATTGTAAATAATATATTACGATACCTCTCGACGCTTCCATACATGTTAAATAAAACACGCTAAAATTATTAAGTATTTATTTTAACCTGTTATAAAAAAATATAAATAAATAATAACTAACATGATTTAAATAATATCTCCTGAAACTGAAAAATCTGTTATTACCAAAAATAAATAAGAGATGCCGTGCCTCCTATTCTATCTAAGGCAACTTGGCCTCCCTAAATTGTGCTTCCAGGTAGCAATATAAAATTAGTGCTGCCAGTTAAAAAAAAATACCATTCACCCAAATAATTAAGTAGATCTCTAAATTTCAATACAATTATACTTTTGTTGAAACATGACGTGTATGTTGTCGACTTTTAAAGATGGTCGGGTGATGGATGAAGCATATCTAAAAACGTTTGTATAAAACTGACTTTATAGGAACGAAATTGCTACGAATCTTCAGTAATTATAGTAAGACTGGAAGCACTTCCCACCAAAGTTGGGACTTACAATCACTTGTCTTTACCAGAGCATTACAGTAAAATAAAAACAAGATACATTATTTAATATCACACAATATAGCAACACCCCTAAGAATCCAATGGTCAGGATTTTTTATAGTTGGCAACCACAAGGGAGTGATGAACGTCAATCCTGTGCGAACCGGCTTCTTATAGACGGGACACTGAAAACGCAAAGTAACTATTAAATTTACTTAATTGAATTAAGCGTTATAGCGAGAGTTATAGCGCCACTAGTGTAATATAAAAAAATAAAAATATTAGAAGACGTCTTTAAAAAAATAAAAAAATAATGCAATTAAATATAGTAATTCTTTTACAATCAAACGCCTATATTTGACAAAACATACAAAAAAACCCTTTTAACCAGGCTATAGTTGTTTTTTAATGCCAAAGCATACCTGATAAAGTTTAGGGTCCTTCGGTGCAGTAGAGTTAATGGCGTACACATGGACCACAGGCAGTGCGGTGTATAGAACCTTTAGCGTGGACTCGCACAATCGTAAGTTCCGACGATCCCAGCCCGCGCCGTCAAGGAACAACCCGTGCACGAACACGCCTTCCTGGAATTCAACAATATCACTTAATATCATATTAAATAGTTTAAATGGTCGTGTGTTCAAACTTTTCTAGGATGCACGAACCAACATCTCTTAATCTATTGGCGATGAAAGAAAAATAAACAAAAAAAAAAAATTCCACAATAAACATATTACTAGCTCTAGTATGTGTAAATATTATTATAGTAACATACGTCTGCATAAAATTTGTATAAGAAATTAAACAGCACCTCTGGTAAGCAATTCTATAAATTTTATTGACGTAATCGTTTTATATGTCACCATTTTAAACATGGCAAAGTCAAGGCAGAGCTCCTTTAAACGCCTTCTGATAGTTGCACATAATTAGTTACTCTATTTAAACGCAAAAATCAAATAAACCATCTGCTAGTTGGTAAAAAACCCTTACCGGTGGTGGCGCTTTAATTTCCTCGTAGGTAAACTTAGTGACGTCATTGTGTAAAGCAACCATGTCCAAGGCCCAACCTTTGTGGGCTCGAGTCACTTCCTGTCGCATCGCCGTCAGGAAACCTGGAACATTCATATGATCATTGATAATAATATAAATATTGACTGAAAATAAAAAAACTTTTTATGAATGATTGGTGGACTTGTAGACGATGATTGTATTATAGGGTTTGAAGACATCACCCTTAAAAGACCCTCGAATAGTCTACATAAGTCTAATTAAAATTTATAATTAAAACAATATGCTAACTGCGCATGTGTGAAAGGACTTAAAACATGGCTACTTTGTTTAAAAATTTTTTTTCCAAAAGTCGACCGTATGAAATGCATCTATGAAGCAAGCGCGTAAGCTAACCCACTAAGCTACGCATGTTAATGTGCTAAAAGAGAATTCTTACAATGACTTTCTTTCTCAATTCCTTACAATTACTACATGTTCCGATTTCGACTAAAATCTCCTGCCTTTTGCTTTATCCTCTATTATGTTATAATGTATTATCTTCTTTCATAATCAATAATAATATTAAGATTTGATATTATGTATATTTTGATTTTAACTAGTTTATCCCTTTATTTCCTTTGGTGTCTTTGTTTATTTTGTCTCGCGTGTCTACCTTTACTTGAAACTGACATAAATTTGAAACTATTACCATAAAAAATACTCATAGAAGATTATTAAGCAATGAAAAAGAATAACCTTGAGGATTAAAAAATCCAGTCATCCAAAAAGAGAAAGGTCTTGCTTGGAAACACCACGAAGAGAATTGGATATTTCTCTCCAAAAACTCGGTAAACCAGAAACCCAGAGTTGATGAAGACCATGAGCTCCTTAGCCATATGTTTGGAACTTTGGCATCGTAAATGTTGTCCAAGGAGTCACGCAAGGCCTAAAATATAGTTAACTAATCTTAATATGTCCGAAGTTGCCGCCAATATTAAATATGACATCGACACAATCGCAGCGTTCGATGGAACGCAATTTTCTAATCTTTATGCCACTATGAAATATCTGTTTATTTTGTAAATTAGAGCAATAAAATTCTCATGGGTTAACTAAGGTTCAACTAGGGTTCGCCTCAATCCATTATTAAATTATTACATCTTTGATCATTGACAGCCACAAATTAACAGCTTTATTAATTTTCAATAACCATAAGCCTAATCGTATAATCAATGTATAATATTTTTTTCTAATAAAAACAAAATATAATTGTAAATGTGGAGAACATACTTCATTCATAATAATAGTTCCGTCAATAGCGAGGAGGAGGTCCTTTAAAGTCGTTCTAACGAGGGATATTACTTTCTGCATTCGATCTATTTCTTGTCGCAAAAATATCACCATCGAGTTAAGTATACCATAATATCTTAATCTGAAATTATACGAATAAGATTTAAAGAAACTTTTCGAAAATAAAAGAAATTCTTGACTGTAACTAAAACTATTAGAATTTTCATTGTTTTAACACTCTTGCGCACTTCAAATTTGAGAAGCACATTTCATACATCGTTTGTGTCTTCCATTTACTT